GTAAATTGTAACCTTTTGAACGTGCCATTATTTTATTGTCGCCGAGTACTCAAAAACACGACTGCCACACGCACGCACACACACACACACAGAGACACACAAACACACACGTACCTCGGCAGGGCGTATCATGCCGTTCTACTTGTATTATCATACGCCTCGAAACCCTAGTCTAATCCATAATCAAGGTGCCTAAACCATAAATTCCTTTCGAAATTCTGAAAGGAACCCCTTTCAAGGGTCCCTAGCTACCTAATACTGAAGGCCAATCAAACCAAGGCCCTTGAGCTTTACGGGGTCGGGATTTGGTTGCCAGGGCGTGGAGTTTGGGGATGGGTTTGGGTTTGGTGGATTAAGATGTGGATGGTTGTCAAAATTATGGTCCTTTTTTTGGCTGCCTAAGATAGTACGGCACCTAATATTTAGGGTACCCCGAAAGGGACCATAGTTTTGACAACCACCCATGTGACGGTTTAGGGTTTAGGGTTGCGTTTATGGCTCAGGGCTTACGATACTTGCTACCTCGGCTTGAGGCACTGTTCTAAGACCCTCGATCCATATATGACAGACGTTATACTTAGACTGCAAGAAATAGACTTAGCAAGCACTTGTGAATGGCTCCGCGGATATCCTTACCATACTACTAACAGGTCTACTGCATACACTGTTAACCTGAAGTCCCAAACCCTAAACCCTAAACCCTAAACCGTTCTTGCCGCGATTTGCATGGGAAACCTGAACCTTGCAGCCTACAGCAACGCAACCCTTCAGGAGGGACTCCTGGCTCTAAGAATCGACCTTATGACCCCTCTGAGCAGTAATAGTAGTAATAGTCGTAATACTAGTAATAGTAGTAATGATTTAGTAATAGTAGTAATAATTTAGTAATAGTAGTAATAGTAGTATTAGTAGTAATAGTAGTAGAAATAATAGCAAGCGTAGCAATATCTATCTCCCTGTAAGCCCTAAACCCTTAAACCCTAAGGCCTACTCTTACTGGAAACCCTATCTGCTATCTGCATCCCCCAAAAATCCAAAGGGCCCAACGGTTGGGTACTCGGTTTTAGGATAGTAGTTATGTAGGTTACTATTTTGGAGAGGATATGATGGTTAGGTACTTGGACCGTTAGGGTTAGACTTAGAAGACCCTGAGCCCGACACCTGAACCCAAGTTGAATCCAAAACCCTAGTCCACGGTTGATGATATACATCCTGCATTTCCCTGATCAGGAATATACCATAATTCCCATAGTTTAGGGTCCTTAGGGTAATGCAGGATTTATATCATCAACAGTCGGACTGCAATCTGTGTTGTCGACAGGCTTCCTGGTGTTTCCGAAGACGATGCTCCTACAAATCCTGGCGGAGTCCTCGCCAGGCGGAAAGATGGTTCTTAGTTCCTTTAAAGGGGTCGATAAGGCTACCATAAGGGATTTATAATGGTTCTTAGTAGGGAATGGGGGAATGGGTCGAATGCGTTTAGGGTTTAGGGGAATCCCCCTTCAAGGAACGTAATCTGATTCCTGAAAGGGGATTCCCAGAAAACCTTAAACCCTGAACACACTCCCTTTAAGGGTTCTACATACAGGGTTTAGGGTTTAGGAACCTTGGTAGTCAGAACACGGGGTATGTCCTGCTGTGTTCATACAGGGGCTTTCATGGGTTTAGGGTTTAAGGTTTCTCTTGCTGCTCATTCCTACTGCATGGACCCTTAAAACTGTTAAACGCTCCATGCTAAAGCCCAAAAGTCTGTAAAGCCCCAAACTCTGAACCCACGGAGCTTGAGCGCATGGCTTCGAGATGTTCAGGACGCGCAGCTCCAGCTTCAGATCGGTTCTACGGCGGGCTTGGGGTTATTGAGGGTTTAGGTTTAGGGTTTAGGGGTTTAGGGTTTCATGAGTGGGTCAAGGCTTATGATGATTGAGAGTTTAGATTATTTGTGGGTTTCTGGTCAGCGCTGAGAGTTTGCATGATTGCTCCAGCTCGCTGAAACCATCCCTTAGTTACGTTTCGTGCACAAAACATTCCAAGCAGGGTATCATGCATTCCAAACTGACTTGCCGCTGAAGTTTGCAAGGCATCCACGCTGTAAACCATAGACCCTAGTCGCAACCCTCAAACAGAAATGCAACAAACCCAAAGGCCCTGATCTGTAACTCTCTGGAGCTGCGCATGGGCTTGGCCTTAAACCCTAAGCCCTGAACTTGACGTTACACAGAGCAGATGTCCTTCCCTTACCCGCTCTGCTTGGTACGTGAAGTTCGGGGGCCCATATTGGCACATAGGGTTTAGGGTACGTAATTACTTGATTTCTGAAACTGCCTGCTTCAACGCCTCAAGGAACGTCCTTTGCTGCAGCAGCGCGAACAAGCGAAGAGGTCGTGTGAGGAAGAAAAAGAAGCTCCGGTCTGGATTTTTCAGTTTAGAATCATAACTGCTATTACTACCATATTACTACCATATTACTACCATATTACTACTATATAACTATACTACTACTACTACTACTACTACTACTACTACTACTACTACTACTACTACTACTACTACTACTACTACTACTACTACTACTACTACTACTATTTTTATTATTATTACTACTACTACTACTACTACTACTACTACCACCACCACCAGTTTAGGGTTTAGGGTTATATCGGGTGTAGGCTTAGACGTCCCTGGTTTGACCGACTTTTATCGATCCCGCTGCGCAGTTGCGTCATAGAGCGAGCGTTGGGGCAACATGGCTTGCATATTTGATATATTTGCGATGTTGCTAGCACTTTTGCTTCTGTCGCGAGGGCAGGGGAGGTTGCTTGGCCTGTTGAGCATCTCCCTGCAAAGCATCATCGTATACATGGCCTAGTAGCTGAATAAGTAACCTTTCACCTTTTGTTTATTTCAATCCTACCATAATTGAAAAGGCTAACCCCCCTTTTTGGGCTAGCATACTCAGCCCCCAAGGCAGCACCATCGTAAGCATGTTCTTGTCCCTTTGCGGAACTGGGAAGCGATGCAGGTACCACAGGGGCCTAAAATAAATACCAATACATGTTTTGAGGGCTCCTTATTTTAATCATACTATAATGGGCCCCAAAACCTCATTCTAATATTAAGGCCTCCCTACATTGCCACTTCTCGTTATATCCGAGTGAGACCCCTGGAGATCTTTTATCTCCAAAGCTCGCAATACACTTCAGCACTCCTATTCCGTACTTTCTCAATGCTTACATCGATGAATGCAAGAGCAAAGTTGTTTCTTTTTGCAAGGCTACGAGTAGTCGTTTCTTTTGCTGCCGACATGAACTCTGTAATGTCTGCAGACTTGGGCTTGATATTCTCAAAGGGAGAGTGGGGAGCCTGCATCACAGACACGGATGGTACGTACATCCTTAAAAGACAACATGATGCTGTGCGGCATTGCTTGAACAACATGGGCTCACGGACCTTATCGGGAAATTCCACGTTTAACTACCCATGAACCTCCAGGCATGCGCCATTATGCCCTAAGGCTCAAAATAGCCCCCAAAGGCCTCATACAGCATGGTCTTCAGGCCCGAAAAGCCCACAAGTATGAGTCCTCAGATCCAAGGGTAAAAGGAGGGACCCTCAATAAGGACCCTTAGGTATATACCCTTAATAGCAAATTTATACCCATTATATAGCCCGCTACGGGGTAGGGGTCCCCATTAAGGGCCCCTCCTTTTCCCCTTTGATCAGAGCCGTAGGGATGGGGACGCTGGGAGCTCTCATGAAGACCTCGCCTTAGGAGGGTGCTGAAGGCCCAGAGCTCTTCTAAGGGGGATTTTACAAGTTGATCGGGTTGGTCTAGGGTTGGGGGACTAGGGATTATATGGGGGTTTCCGAAAACACGGGACCCTAGTATCGTACCCCAAACAGTAGGATCCTGATCCTTATTCTAAGGACCCCCAAACAAGGTACCCCTCATTTTCTGAAACGCCCATTTAGGCATCAGAGCTTCGGGGTGGTTGAGGTTAGCGGTTTAGGGTTTAGGGTTTCTGTTAGGGTTTAGGGTTTAGGGTTTAAGGTTTGGGTTTAGGGTTTCTGTTAGGGTTTAGGGTTTAGGGTTTTAGAGCTTTCGTGGCTTCGAAGTTCGAAGCCTTAAAGGGCTGCTAGCGGGGTCTGCTTGGATTTGTTTTCTTCTTCTTTTGGCTGCGGCTTGTAAGGTGGTTTCCATGGAGTTGTATAAGATTTTGCAAGGCCAGCAACATTCTTCTTAATAAAATTACAGAGTTTTGGGCTTTCCGGGTTGGGGTCTTCGACTTTGAGGGTGCAGGATTGAGGGCTTTCGGGGTGAAGGATCTAGCAATCACTGCTTTATATGGTCGAGATCTTGCGGCTTGCAGCGCTCAACTGTTGAAAAGGACTCGTAGCCGTACCCCACACCACGACATTCTGCAGTCAATCGTTTCGTGCAGCTTGGCCAGCAATGCTCCGCATCAGTCAACTTTCCGGGGAGGAGCTGACCAGCCTTCCTCTTGCGGAGTTAAGTGACGTGAAGGCCTTGAAGCACCGACTGCATCAGCAGCACGGCCTGCCGCCGCGCTTCAGGCAAAGGCTTTTTCACGAAGGCAATGCGTTGGATGATGTCGTCACGTTGGACACTGCGATGGATCTGCAGGTTGTGATTCTGGCTTTCCCCGAAGTTTCGGAGCTCCAACAGCAAGAGCTATGCGATGCAGCAGTCAATGGCAACGTGGCTCAGGCACGGTGCGCATTACTGACAGAGAGCCCAACAACTGCATCCTCAAACTGACTCAACTCGTACAATTGCATTCCACAAATCACAACAAAATAAACCATGTCTCGGAATCCTGTTTCCGTAGATCCTCAGAAAAAGGCTGCCCACGCTTTCTCAGGCTATGTAGCCGAACCTGGGAACCCTCCTGCCGTAGATCCTCAGCAGCTAAGCCCTAAACCCCTAAACCCTAAACCAGGCCTTCTCAAGGTTTCAGGCTGAAACTTTGCTGCAGCTCCCGATGCACCCTGATGATCCAAAAGATCCCGGTCATCTCGGTACCCCTACGCCATTGATGCTTGCGTCTCAGTACGGTCACGCGGACATTGTACAGCTGCTCCTAGAGGGCGGCGCTGACAAGGATTTCCGCAATGAGAATGACTATACACCATTAATGTTGGCGGCCGAGGAGGGCCACGTGCATGTCACACGGTTGCTCCTCGAGAGCGGTGCTAGCAAGGATGCTCGCGAACTGGATGGCTGGACACCGCTGATGTTAGCAGCAGGCGAAGGTTCTGCTCAAGTTGCACAGCTGTTGCTGGAGGCAGGTGCTCGGACAGAATTGCGCCGTCGCGACGGCAGTACAGCACTGATGTCTGCGGCACTCAACAGCCAAGCTGCAGTCGTGCGCTTGCTGCTTCAGGCCGGTGCCCACATGGATGCGCGGGACAACGGGGGCAACACTGCGCTGATGGAAGCAATGCATGCAGCGCCTGCAGCAATCGACGGTCATGTTGAAGTCGTTCGGGTGCTCCTGGACGCCGGCGCCGCGAAGGATGTGCGAAATGAACTGGGCAAGACAGCACTGATGATGGCAACAGATCCCGAAATTCGGCGATTGCTGGGGGCTGGCTTTTGACTGTGGCCTCGCTGAAGCAACACTGAAAAAAGCTTGGAGCTGTCAACAACACCCCGGAAAGAACTCTTCCTCTGTGGCGATGTGAGGCAAGGTCTGCTGTGATTCCTGAAGCATCTATCAATCATCTCACATCGCGATATATGAGATTTCTGGTTCATGTGCAAACATACATCTTCCACACATGTCAAACGCAGCGTATCTGTGACATGACATTCGAGACAACCTGAAGCTGCATGAACAGGAAAAAAACGCGGACAACGGAACTGCCATGAGCATTATCATTGTCATCGTCATCATCGCATCAGCAGCAGCACCAGCACCAGCATCATCAGTGTCAGCATCGCCATCGCCATCATCATCATCATCACCACCAGCCTCATAAGCATCATCATCATCATAATAATCATCATCATCATCATCCTTGTGGTCATCATCGAATCATGACCATCACCATCCTGATCATCATCATCATCAACATCATCAATCATCCAGCACCGCCCGAAGAAGGCTATTTGCTAAAGAATATCCTAAACCCTAAACCACAGCACCGCCCCAAGAAGGTTATTTGCTAAAGAAGACGATCAGCCGAAGCGCTTGCAGGCTCCGTTCCGAGCATCGCTGCGCAACCGTCGAGGCACATGGTCGATAAATGGGGGGTTTTCGATAATTAGGGGTACCGAGTTTGGGGTCCTTGTTTTCAGGATCCTACTATTCAGGCTACTACATTAGGGTCCCCTATTTTCGTAAACTTTCAAATGTCATAAAGGGGACTTCGTATTTGCAGATACTATTTAGTTTTGGGGGTTCCTTAGTGTAATTATAGCATAATGGGCCCCCAAACCTTAGTCTAATTACTAAGGCCTCTATGTTACGGGGTCTCAACAACTACCACTACAACCCCCTTAGTCGTCGCTATATAACAGCTTCCGTCGAAGTTTGTCAAGTTTTGGGCGGTTCTCATAATATGCTAGCAGGCAGCCCACAATGGAAAAAAAGATTCATTAAATATAGGAGCTGGAATCGTTAGTAGTAGTATCCCCTATAAAATACGCTAGGGTATCGTGGCTCTCTTGGTTTAGGTTGGTTCAGGCATTGAACACAGAAGTGATTTGGGTCGTTTAAGGTTTGAGGGTTTAATAAGGGTTCAAGCTGCGCGAAGGGCTGGAATGAGGAAGCGCGTCAGACAGGTTGTATGCAAGGCTTCCGACTTCCGCCTCCGAGGCTTGCGGCCGCAGCTACATCCGTGTGACATTGCTATGAAGCAGACGAAGCGTGAAAAGACCCTTTTCAAAATGAGCTCAGACGAGCTCTTGGGGTGTAGGGTTTAGGGTTCAATGTGGACTCATAGGGGATGTCTGGACGCTGGGGAATGCTTCTGAGTTTTTGAGCGGAGGCATTGCTTGGGCTTGCGGTTCAGCGCGATGACAGGAAGCTGAAACGAATCGAATCAAAAGGAAAGTGCCGAGGGTGTGGCCAGCAGAATGCTACTTGTAATAGCTTGCATAGTTGGTAGTGCCAGCTTCGGAGGCGACTCCCACCCTGACTCAGACCACTTGCGTGGCGTTGAAGGCTTCAATTCAATGGTCGTAAAGGTTTCAACAGCTTTCGATCTAGTGCACAGGTGTAGGCTATGCAGTTTAAGAGTTTAGGGTCCAAGGCGTGAGGTCCGAAATCCTGAACTATCCTCCGTTTGGAAGTCGATACCCACAAAGAGAGAAAAAGAGAGAGAGAGAGAGAGAGAGCGAGAGAGCGAGAGAGCGAGAGAGACAGAGAGTACAGAGAGTACAGGGTTTCTGGGGGTCCAGACCGAACAAACACTACACGTTACAAAAGCCTCGGGGAACAACCCTGTCCACTGCCCCAAAGCCGCTCTTCCACCACTGCTACAGGAAGGGGAGGGCCTCGGCCCGGGTTCGCCTAGCGGACCTTTCCCCAGCAGCGAGCGAGCGAGCGAGACAGAGAGAGAGAAGGAGACGAAGAGAGGGAGAAGGAGAGAGAACGGGAAGAAGAGAAAGAGAAGAAGACAAAGAGAGAGAGAGAGAGAGGTAAGATAAAGAGAGGGAAGATAGGGGAAAGAAGATAAATAGAGGGAAGATAGGGAGAGATAAAGAGAGAGGGATAAGAAGAGAGAAAGAAGAGAGAGAGAGAAGAGAGAACAGAAATAAGAAGAATCAGAAAAAGGGAGAAAATGATAATAGAGAATCGAAGAGAAAAAATCAAGAGACAATATACGATAAGCGAAATAAGAATAAAGAGAATCGGTTATTATTTAATTTCTATAAATTCCGTCTCAAATCGAATAGATTTCGAAGATTTCATATTTTTTCTACATATAGAGTCGATTTCCGAATAGATTTTTAGATTTGATAGATCTCGTAATTTTCTTATGTATAATATGAAATATTTCATGAAGAATAATAGAATAGATTACACCTGGGGTCTTTATAATCGTCGGGTGTCCATAGAGATTTGTTGTGGTGCGTAGAGGATTCCACTTGGGATCTTTATGATGATCTCGTTGGGTGTCTATAGCGATTTCTTGTGCTACGTGGGGGACAATATTATAAGATATAATCAGATTCTTTTTATTACGTGCACTAAATTATTAATCTTCGTTTCATATATATATATATCTATATATATTTAAATATATATATATATATATATATATATATCTTCTATTATTTCAAGAAAGATATTAATATATATTTTTCATATATTCGATATAAAATAGTTTCTCTTAAATTCATATTAGAAATATATTGATTTTTATTTCTTTTTCAATATCGATCTATATATATATATTAATTATCTATTTAGGTGATCTAGAATTGATTAAAAGAAATATTATTTGATATAAAATTTCTATTTTCATATGATGAGGAAAAGAGAAGATATATATATATATGTATATATATATATTATTTTTTTTCATATATCTATTTATTAGAAAAATGAATTTATGATTTATAATGATTTTTCTGATTCTTTGATTTCGAAAATATAAATAAGAATTCGAAATAGCAGATTGATATGAGATATAGATATAGAATATTCCAATTATTTATTTTCATAATCAATCTTGCCTTGATTTTGATTTATATTCGATTGATATGAAGATTGAAATCTAGAGAAGGAATTTCTGATAATATTATTTCTTTATTAGAATGGGTCGGGATATTTGTACC